GCGAATATATGAGGATTTTTCAAACATCAACTAACCTTTCTTTCAATTTTTTTTCTTTTGGCTTTTTATGTCCCAAAGCCTAGCGATTTCTTTTGTAATACGTTTTTATGAGGCATGGCACAATTATATGTTTATTCATCATCAGTATTATCATTATTTATTTTGTTTATTTTCCTTTGGTTGTTGGGTTAATAAAGACTATCAATAAACGATAAACAAACCTTCTGTTGGCCCAAGAGTGATGTTGCCTCTTGTTGTGTCCAGTCCTTGAACTGCCAATCTTTTCTCACACTACAAACACAACTTTAGATTGCAGTGTCAATATTATGTCTAACTTACAAGAAGGCACAAATTTAAAATAATTAGTATAGTACTCGAAATAATCTGCAACAACTTTGATTTGTCTTTCATGCCAAATGCACAATTTCCTTTCTGACAGCAAGATCTTAAGACTACGCAGCGTGCAAAAAATCATACAATATGTCATAGTGTCTTATGCAAGTTAAAGTCAAGAAAACATCACGCACAATGGTTACCAGTTAATATTTTCTTGTTTCGTTCTATTTCTTGCCACAAGGGTTGAAGAATTTTTTCCAGTCTCTAAGCTTGATTTCCCTCTTAATAAAACCAACATCTTAGCCGAGTCTGTAGGTATGACTTAGAGGGCGTGTGTGGAGTGTATTGTCACGTGATAGCTTAACGTAAAAAGCTAGTGCACCAACAAAACAGTTTCAAACCCAAAAATGCAAATGATTGATAACAGTGTGCGATTTATGACTAGTCGTTTTTCGTCTTCATCTAGTCACTTAAAAGTAAATTATAATAATGTATATTTTTCTTGTTTAAAAGCGYGCGCATGCGCTGTGATCACGCAACATTGGTGTAAGTACTTGTACAGTATGTACAGGTCAGCTGTCACTGCGAAAATAGTTTGCAAAATACCACCTATGAGATACCACCGTTAGATACCTCGAATACAAATCATTGTTAGCAATGCTGTTGATATTACTAGCTAGCGTATCCAAGATCCCAAGTGTTTGAAAATATGGTTTTGGCATTTCTCATTGCTCACAAAAAATCAATGCTAAACAATCCAGCCCCACCATGAAATAACTTGATTGTGTTTTTGTTTTTTGCTAATGTACAAAGACACAACTCCGTCAACCATTTCAACCAATCCTGATAGCTACAGGCAAACCTTCCAAACGAAAAATGAATAAACTAAAATACCCTGAAAAAGTTAAATAATAAGGAGAAATGCAAGGAAAAATGCCAAAAACTTTCACTAAACCCCTCAGTCGCCAACCTTACCAATGAGTAGCCAGACTGCTTCGTTGACATTAAGTCACCTATTGTTCGAGTTCCTGTACGACGTTCAAGGAAAGACGATCGACCTGATACAAAATAGTTTTGCATGAAACTGGAGCTAAGGAAACAAGATGGCGGAGTGTGTTGTGGCCAGATAACTCAATGCTTCTTAAATGGAGAAGCTTTAAAACCCCAAGACGCGCAAAACAATACAAAATTATGGCACGAAATAGAGTATTTTACTGTAGTTACTTCACAAATTGAATACACAACCTGTTAAGTAATTGTACAATAGCTACAATTATGGTGATGATTGCAATGAATATTGTTACGTTTTCATAAATTAAATAAAAGTAAAAGTTAAAAATAATTAAAAAAACAGGATCAAGAATATATATACGATATGAAAAAACTGTAAACTATACCTAGAAAAGTTTAAGCCATAACCCACCTACACCTCCCTTTCCTTACCCCTCAGCGTGGCTTTATTTTGATTTTTTTTTTGATTTTTGATTTTGTTGTTTTTGTTGGTTTTTTTTTTGGTGTAAATATTATATCCCGATAGGGACGTATATGATATCCATGCTAACCATTTTATTTACTAATTATATTTACCTTTTTCGATTTAGAGCTCATCTTTTTATAATCGAATGGGCTGTCGAGGAATTAAGCTATAGCATTAGAGAAATTTAGCATCAGGTTAAGCTCTGCTCTACTACCGCTAGAAACACTGGGCATCAATGAAATTCAATATGGCGGCTCTTCCAGTAACATCTTCGTTATGAAGCCTTGCTAAATGTCGAAGGTGTGATGGAAAACGCCTGACATTGAACTGTACTGAGTTTGAGGTTTGTGGTGCATAGCAGGAACTTCATGCTAAAGTTCTCTATTGTAACCACTTATTTCTATTTCAGAGTTAAAATAACAGTTTGAAGGAAGAGACCTGCTTTAATAATGATACAATTTCTCAAAAGAATTGACTTAAAAAAGAAGAGAAAAGAATCCACATTCAGCACTACAAACAATCGAGAACGCAAAATTATTTGAGCTAACAAACCTGGAAATCTAGATCTTATATCAGACAGACTTCATTTAGGTTTCTTCATTGGACATATCTGGCTTCTGCTTGGACTTGCTGGAAAAAAATATTTGAGCTGATTGAATTTTGTCTAAAACAATTATCATTATATCTTATATGATTGTCCTTAAGATATGTGGTACGTTGTTGCACTCGGGGTCCATTGACTCCATCGAAGCTTAAGGTCAGCTTGGCAACTTTAAATCTTTTTTTTTTTTTTTTCAGTCTGTGAGGTAGCACTGCGCATGTCCTGACTTATACAGCTATCCGGAGGTTTTGTAGGTTTCGACATAAATATATAGATCAACTATTTGTCGAGATCGAGCAACAAAACCGCAACGGCTGATCACGATACGGCAGTAAAATAACGAAATGTCAAAGCTGGATTGTCCTGGTTTGAACTTTGTTTAGTTGAACTGATAAGCAGCAATTTGGTGCAGTTTTGAGATTGGCACTGATTGATCAAGAAATAATGCCGAAAATTCGAACTTTTACGGCATCATAAGTTAAGAACTTTACCATGCACATCAGTATTACTGAATTCTTGTTCATGGCAACGGCTGAGCCAATGTATAGGATATTTTCCACATATTGATTATTTTTTTGACTTTTTCGTATGAAGTTCTTCCTCTTAATCTACCTTGTTTGTTCAGCTCTTCGGCAACCCTTTCTGCTTCTTCAACCGTCAGGCCTTCTGGATTGGCCATATAGTTTCCCTCTTTCTGTAACATTTTCAACG